AGTTCCCAGTTGCTGTTAGTTCCCAGTTGCTGTTAGTTCCCAGTTGCTGTTAGTTCCCAGTTGCTGTTAGTTCCCCGTTGCTGTTGGTTCCCAGTTGCTGTTAGTGCACAGTCAGACTCAGGTATGGCTCCGCGGTCCGACTTGATCATAAATCGGTGGTTGATGCAGTCAGTGTTTCCCCTGCCATTATACAAGCGGGGTGTCCCGCCGCGTCAACAGAACCGAGCTGCGTGCACCCCCACCCCACCCGTCTGCACTGACGTAACTCCAAGTTAGCAGCACGCTAGCTAAAAAGCTAAAAGCAACGTCTTCCCTCACACTGACCGGCTCAAAACCTGTCGGGACAAACAGCGCTCAGATGTGTCCGTTCATGCCTTCATCGCAGCGTAATCTGCTGCGTGGTGGGATGACGTATTTACATCATGAAATTAGCATATCATGATATTTATTTTCCCGGACAGGTTTTTTTTACCGGTATTATCGTGAACCGTATGATATGATCTGGCCCAGCCCTACCTGATCCTGCATTGCATTTCTCTTGTGCAGGCACTTTGGGGCAGCAGTAGCTCGTCGCTGTCCGTGGGGGAGTCTTCAGTTGGGGAGTGGCTGCAGAGACTGGGCTTGGAGCGCTATGAGCAGGGTCTTCTGCACAACGGCTGGGACGATCTGGAGTTCCTCAGGTACGTGTTGTCGCACCCTTAATGGGAAGCATTTGTGCTTTGGGAAATGCATTTAGAGACTGGAATTTAAAAAAATGTTAAAAGGATACTACAGATTTTTTAGGGAAGTTTTTGTGAAATGTATTGCTTTTTAATTATGTCATATGTCGGGGGTGTGGGGGGGGGGGGTTAAAGCTGTCCAATCTAATAATGATACAGGATTAAACTGACACTGCTGTCAACAAATAAACAGAACCAGAGCCACAGTTTGACCCAATCAGAGCAGGGTGGGTCGTGCTGTCTGGTACACAGCGAGTCCAGAGCAGAGACAGGCTGCAGGTGAGAGCACCCGTCACTGTTTCCTGGACCATGTTTCAAGGATGACACCCCACTATTCTAACCAAATGTGATGACTTAAATTAAAAAAAAAAACATCTTTGTAGTTGATGTGTTTTCATGTGACCGATTCACTGCAGCCGGGGGAGATCCTAGAACTGATACACCATTACCCCCCCACCCCTCCCACATGCTGTGCTTGGTTGTAATACAGCAGAATCCAACCATCGCCTATATTTATACTGTAGGATTTTCAGTCTTAAATTTCATTCAAAGTGACATTAAAAGGTCTTAAATGTTAAGTTGTAAGTAGCCTACTGTGTATGTGTCAGGGGTTCATGGGAGGGGGAGAAAGTGGGAGACAGGTGTAGTCTTGGTGATGTTAAACGTGATGATTAAAGTGTGAATACTCACGTCAATGGTGTTATTATTGAGTTTACAAATTGGTAGCAGAGGATGGCCACTGCTGGGAGTTACAAAGTTCCTCCACCTTTCGATTAGAAGACGTCTTATGAAAGTTGGAAAAATGAGATTGAAATCTGGAGCTGCTCTTATCGACTTGGACAAAAAGAAGCAGGCTCTAGCAGTTACCCTGTTGCTATCGGGAAGAGCAAGGGAAAGCACCCTGAAAATTGCTGCGGAACTAGGGCTGGGCCATATCATATCGTTCACGATAATACCGGTAAAAAAAGCTTTCCCGGGCAAAACAATGATATCATGATGTGCTAATTTCATGACGTAATATGTCAAGCGCCCCGCTCCGTTAACAGAACCGAGCGCGCTGAACGACCAAACCGAACTGCGCACCCCCACCCCACACACACACACACACACACCTGTAGGTACTGGTGTAACACTAATTAGCTGCGCGCAATACTAGCTAGCTAAAAACAAACAACGCACGGCTCAGCTGTTTCCACCCAGCTCTAAACTGCTGATACAGACAAATCAACTGTCTCTCCCTCCCCCCACCCCGCTCTAAGCTGCCGGTACAAACACGCACAGGTCTTTCTCTTAGTTCCACAGTCCATGGACCAAGAACAGAGTCAGGTGATCAGAGACAGAGCATCAGAGAAATGAATCATTCCTGCAGGAACAGAGGAAGCTGAAACTCCACAAGCTTCAGGGTCAGATGATCACCTTGTTACAAGTTCTGGAAGTTAAAGCTCATTTAAAGGAAACATATATTTTGTTGTACGTTACATTTATGTTCAACAGATCTTAAGCTTCATTTTATTTAGTTATTTTGGGAAACTGCACCTGCACTTTAGTTGTGGTGGATTTATTGATCTATATTTTGTGCAGACTTTTTCAATCTAAATAACAGAAGGATCATTTTTATTTTTATACTTGGAGACTGAATACTTTACTAAATAAAGTAATTTCAGTAAAATTACCCCATGATTTTTTTTTAGTTTTTAGATAATACTACAAAGCAACATGTTAAGTTTATTTTGTCAAATGAATAACTGATTTCTGGGGTTTTTTTATATCACGAAATTTATCGTTATCGTCAGAATGCTCTGAAATATCACGATATTATATTTGAGCCATATCGCCCACCCCTATGCGGAACACCTCAACGCCGATACGGGAATGACCATTCTTTAAAACAAGCTGGACTCAGTGTTTTTAAAAGAAGAAAAGGGTCGACAGTACGAAGCTTTTGTGGAGTTTGATCAGATCAACAGACAGGGCGACACGTCCACGATGAACTACATTATCGAATTTGAACGACGATACAAGAAGTTACGCACGTTCAAAATGGAACTGCCAGATGCAGTGTTAGCATTCAAGCTCCTAGACACCGCAGGGCTAAACGTTCAAAACAAACAACTATCTCTTACCGCCTGTTCCACCGTCTCTTTCAACAATATGACATCTGCCTTAAAACTCATTTTTGGTGATACCGTCCACCACAAGAGGGCGACTTTGTCTTCTTCATCAAATACACAGGTAGGTGTGAAGGAGTTCAGGATCAGAGCCAAGCTCAAGAACAGCTGCAGGGACTAATCCACTTGACAAATACAGGAGAAGAGCTAAATGTGCAATATGCCAAATGCACTTATCACTGAGCAAAGGACTGCCCTAGCAAAAGAGAACATGTGAAACTAACATGTTGAGGGATCAAAAGATGATGTTGAGAAATGTAAAATTACTCTGTTTTCAAACAAATCACCCTCTGACACACAGATCTTCATGGTGGAAGCTTTAGGATCTGGTGTGATTGACACTGCCTGTACAAGAACTGTGTGGAGTGAGAAAATGGCTTGTAGACTATGTAAGTGGGCTACCTCAAAGTGCGTTAATAAAAATTAAAAATGAAAAGAGTGCAAGACCTTTCCGGTTTGGAGATGGAAAATTGTGCATTCCACAAGAAAACTGACCATTCCAGCAAAAATAGGAGAAATCAGATGCAAAATAGAGACAGAAGTGGTTCCAGCAGATATACCAATGCTTTTGAGCAAAACATCATTGAAGAGAGCAAATGCTGTTTTGCACATTGCTCAAGACAAGGCAACAATGTTTGACCAACCTGTAAAACTCAAACTGACATCTTCTGGACGTTAATGGGTAAACTTAAGAAAGGAAAGGAGCAATAATGAAAGCCAGTTTGACAAAAGTGAGACACCAAATGATGAAGACAAAATTCTCATTGTGACAGAAAACATGACAACAAAATAAAAAAGGCCGTTCTGCTAAAGCTACATAAACAACTTGGACATGCCTCAGTTGACAGACTGCAAAAACTCTGGTCTTGCTCAGGCAACAATGATGAAAACGTTACAGTCCTGAAGGAAATTGTAAAAAACTGAAATATGCATCCGATACAGTAAACGGAAACATAAACCTGCAGTGGGTTTACCCACGGCTTCAACATATAATGAAACCGTAGCTGTGGACCTGCATGAGCTTGAGCCAGAACTGTGGTGTCTATGCCATCCACCATTTTACAAGGTTCAGTTCAGGGAGTATTATCCCCACCAAAAGACCCAAAGAGATAGTGAAGCACTTTATTCACTGCTGGATAAGCATTCATGTTCCACCATGCAGATTATTCAGTGACGATGGAGGTGAATTTAACAATAAAGAAACAAGAGACATGGCTGAACATTTTAACATTGAGGTTAAAACTACTGCAGGATACAGTCCATGGAGCAACGACCTCCTGGAAAGACACAATCAGATCCTCACTGAAATGTTACTGAAGGTAAAGAGAGACGGCTGCAGCTGCGGTCCACTGATGACAAATGTGAAACAAGAGACAAAATCTGTTCTAAGCGTAGACTGTCAGGAGTAGAAAGGTCCAGGTGTGGTTATTGGCCAAGATGGTGTGGTAATATTTGCCAGGCATGGTGGAACATACGTATGTCAGAGTACACCAGTCTAAGCTAAGAAAAGTGAATGAAACTCAAGAGAAACTGGAAGAAACTAAAAAAGAAAATCAGATTTTAATATTTTTAAGACACCAGCAGCAGTACTTAAGGAACGCAATGATTTTGAAAGTGAACATGAGGAGATGGCACCAACGAGGGACGAACCACACGGTGTTGCAGGAAACAGTGACTCCTTCTGTGATTCAGTACAACCTGGAGAGGGCGATCTCCCACTGGCACGTTCAACAAGTGTCAGTGAAGAACAGCTGGACAAGTAATTAAATACACAGACAAAGAAACGGGTCAAAAATATTCAGCAAAAATAACCAGCTGGGCAGGAAAGGCCAGTGGGAAACACAGAAACTGGTACAAAAACAGTGAGCCAGAGGAAATTGCTGGATCCACAGGGTCAGTTGATATGGGACAAGTAGACGACCGTGAACTGGTAGAAACTGTCAGGTCAAACACTGACAACAACAGAGATTAAATATTAGTGGTGAACGGGGATATTGTCTCGCATGCCAAACAAACTGAACTTGACAACTGGAAAAGAAACCATGTATTTGAGGGGAAAAAGATGAAGTCCAGAAATGCATATCAACGAGGTGGGTGTGTACACTCAAGAAAACAGAAGTACCATACCATACCATTTTATTTATAGAGCACTTAAAACAGTGACAAGGCCAACCAAAGTGCTGTACAGACAGAGTAGACATTGTACCCAAAGCTAGACTGGTTGCAAGAGGCTTCGAAGAAATAAACACTTAATAACTTCCTAAGGATTCGCCCACTAGTTCCTCTGAATCTCTCAAGATGGTCATAGCTGTTATATGTCAAAATTAATGGAAGATGAAGTCTATGGACATCAAATCAGGCAGCCTTTTTGCAAGGTAAAGATTTAACCCGAGATGTGTATATCCGTCCACCTCAAGAGGCAGAGAGCGAAGGAATCATATGGAAGTTAAATAAATGTGTTTATGGCTTGGCAGATGCTTCCGTGTTCTAGTACAACAAGGTGAAAGAAGCCATGATGAAGCTGGGAGGCACTGTGTCAAGTCGATCCAGACGTCTTCTACTGGCAGGATGATTACTGTAAGGTGACTGGAGTCATGTCGATGACTTTGTATGGGGTGGTTCAGACATGCAGGGCAGAGCAGACCTGACATCGTGTGTGACATATCCATCTTGGCATCAAATACAAAACATGCTATGAGTCAAACACTACAATGGGCAGACAAACATCAGAAAACTTAAATCTGAGGACGTTACCCTGAGGCTTCAGTACTTGAGACAACAAATACCACAAGTTAGTGGTGTTCAGTGATTCCTCTGACAGACCTCTCAGATGGAGGGACACAAGGTGGACATTTTATCATGCTGATGGGAGAAGATGGAAAATTTTCACCTACCATATTTTTCACTGCATAAGTCGTGTTTTGTGCATAATTTGCATGCCCTGTGACTTTAATGCCGAAGCTACATATTTATGTTTTTTCCATATTTATAAACCACTTTTTGCCTGAGATATGACCGTTTTCATTCATTCTGATTGAAAATATTGAACACTACCATTTTCAACAGCTAGATGGGACTCGAGTTGTATGGCATGCTGTTGTGTCATGTAATAGGTAAGAGTGGCTATTAATGACACAATCGGCCTGCCATAGCCTGCCATTGTCTTCTGCCTGGAGCAACCATCAAATCAGCTTCATTTTGCTGCGCCGCCCCGGTGAAATGCAGCTAATTAGACCATTGAAGTGCATTTATTAAGTAAAAGTTCAGCTGAGACACACCTTTGCTATGAAGTTGTAGTATGACATATACTGGATATATTCATACTCTAACGGGTTCTTCATTTTTCTGAACTGTGTAAATGTCGTGCATTGAATTTAACAGAAATGTAACGAGAGACGTTATTTATCTTTGACCCATCAAAATGAATGCGGTCATTTATTTACAGAATCAAAGTTTAACATCAAACATTTACATTAATTTGGCAAAATATGAAAATAACAACAGCATAGTTTTACAGGAAGTGAGAACAATACGGCGATTGTTTTCACTTTTCAGCTAAAACGGCAGACATGACTTAATCAGTTTTACAATCAGGAAAAACCATACGGCCATGATTTTCCGTTGCATCACCACAGACATTAATGAAAACATCTGGATTAATTTTCTAGCAGAAAGGAGAGTTTAAAGATGGAAAATGGAGATTTATCTTACAGAGAGATGTGTGAGGGAATTTATCTGTGGTACCAGAACAACACGCTCTTTGGAGAATAAGCTTGGCCCACGGTACGCTTGGTCGAAATAGAACCTTTACCTGGTTGATGATAAAATCAGCGTCGGTGTAGAGTTCCCTTCTGACTCTTTCAGCGTCTCCGTGAGGACAGCCAAACCCTTAGGAGTCGTGTGAGGTTATCCAAACAGAAGTTATAATCCCCAAGATCGTCTCTGGATTCTGGATTCCAATAGAAGCATCCTGGACGCCTGCGTTAGCATCCAAGAACTCTGAACTCTTTAACTCTCTTCAGAGAGTTAAACTCTGGAACTCTTCTCCAGGAAAAACTTTCAAGCTCTGAAAAACTCTACTGTTGAACTGGGAAGTCGCCACATTTAAATGGGTTCGACTTCCGGGTCATTTGAGAGCTTTTTGATTGGTCGATGGACCAGAACAGAGGTGTGGTTTGTGATGTAAGGTGTTATGGAAAGTCAAGGATTGTTTAAAACAGACAGAAAGATTATTGGAGAAAACCAGTCTCAGTGGCGTCTCTTCTCCTAGTATCTGCTGTAAAAGTTAAACATGACATTTCTTTTCAGTAAACTTTTTAGTTGACCGAAGCCTGAACTTTGACACACACTTACAAACTTGCTCATTGAAGACAGAAAAATCAAGAAATGCATATTACCCTGATTTCTTCTTTGAATGAGGAATAAAAATCATTACTTACTGTTTATGTAAATAAAAATGAGTAGTTCTCTTCAACCTGTAAACATTGTTTGAACTAACACAATTTGATTATCAAACATTTGTAAAATAGTAATGATCATAGAGAATTGTCTTTTCCACTTGATTAATTCAGGAAAGAAAGTCTCAGGATGGGTCAAACTGTATTTCTGGATGCAGATCAATGAAATGACAGTTTCTGTCCCACAAGGTTCTTAAGGTCAAGGGTTTTGACCTTAGGCTTAGTTTGACATCAGGTTAGGTTCACTACAAAGTCGAGCAAACAATTATTTTTAGGTGCTTATCTTGTTAAATTTCGAAGAACTGGACAGTGAGTCGTCCCTCTGTGCGTTCATGTTTCCGCATATCAGCTTTTGAAAATGCAGCTGGTCTGACCGTCAAAGTGCATTTATTAAGGAAAAGTTCAACTGAGACACACCTTTACTATAATTTTGAGCAAACAATTGTTTTCAAGTGTTAATCTTGTTAAATTCTTGTTAAAGTCCTCCTGTGCACACTCCCGCGGCCACCATTTGGCAGCCAATCGATTTTTGGCACAACCTGCCCACATTTCCTGGTTGTCAGCGGTGACGCATATTAGATGCGACTTATACGGTGAAGCAACATATTTATGTATTTTTCCACTTTATTAGACATATTTGGACTGATGAGACTTATAGGGGGGTGTGACGTGTACGACAAAAAATACGGTATATGCTGGCAGTCGAAACTGATCAGGAGAGCGATACGAAGCACGTTAGCTGGAGAGACATTAGCACTTGCAGATGGGACAGATAGGGCTGTCTTTCTATCCACACTCTACTCAGAGCTCATGGTTGGTGACGACACACAACATCCTGTCCATTACCTGTGTAACAGACAACCATTCTCTCTGATGCTGCCATGTCTACAAAATCTGTAACTGAACAGAGGCTTCAGCTTGAGATCAGCAGCTTCAAAGAACTTATGGACTCGGGAATAATTGAGAACATCAACCAAAGAGCAGCTTGCTAACTGCTTAACTGAAGTGGGGCATCTGCACTTGGACTACTGAGAGCCCTTAGTGAAGGGGAATGTCAATTTAAAGATTAAAAATACAGTAAAAACAAAACACTAGTGTTCCTTACATAAGTTCATACAGAATGTTCTAATCTGTTATGTATTCTTTAAAGAACGAGGGGAGACTGTTAATTTGTAAGTAGCCTACTGCGCATGTTCCAGGGGTTACTGGGAGGAGGAGAACGGGGGAGACGGGTGTGGTGTTTGTTGTGTTAGTGGTGACGATTAAAGTGTGACACTCACGTCAGTGGTGTGATTATTGAGTTCACATTAGAAAGTGTTCAGAGACCCTGACAGTTGTTCCATAAACACCTCATTAACTCCGTTTAAACATTTGTTTCCCACGTTGTCACCTTCTTTTGGTCTCCGCAGTGACATCACTGAGGAGGACCTGGAGGAGGCCGGGGTTCTGGATTCCACCCATAAGAAGATTCTGCTGGAGAGCCTCAGGCAGCAGCAGAAATAAACTGCACCTTTGACCGGTCCAAACTGGCCTGGAACCACATCAGGTCCGGAGAGGCCACATTTCAGCTGAACTACACTGGAACTGATGCCACACGGTGCCTTCTGAGAGAAATTGCACTTCAATAATGTTTTCAGAAACACTTTGTGAACCAGCGTGGTTTCGTTCGTACTGTCTGCGTGTTGTCATCGTTCTAGATGTTTCTTTATTTAATGAAAATCATTTCAGTCCTTCATGCATCACTACAAAACTGAGAGCACAGTGAGAAGCGTTTAAGACAGGTTTCAGAATGCCGTGTCATGTCTGCTGGACCGTCGGGTCGGACCTGGAGCTGCTCATTTAGAGCGGCCTCTGTTGAGTTTTTGTTCTGAGCCGAGGGGCGGAGTTTCTGCTCCATCAGGTTTTAAAAATGAGAAACCTTTTAAACTCGTTGCTTGTTTTACACAATCTGTATTCTTTGAAAGACTGCCTTTTTCTGAGGCTCAGGTTTTTCAACACTCGTCATCATCGTGGGCGAACTGTGGGGATGGTTAGCGAGCGCTCGAGAGGAAGATGTTGCACAGATGATCTCGTTAGGTTCTGTTAGGAGGGCGGACAGGATGCAGTGACGGGAAAGAAGCCGATCGATCTGATTCTAGTGAGCTCAACTCCCAGCTCGTTCAGATTGCGTACGGTCGTGTTGCCGTTTGGGTCTGTTTCTGTGGAGAGTGTGTGCATGTAAATATGACTGGATCACAGCGCGTCAAAAGGGAATCTTCATCAAAACTTATTTTTAGATCTAAAACCGTCACGTTTTTACATTTTTTTCTACTCATCACTGATATTTTAACCTTTTCTGGCATGTTTTTGCCATGTTTTTATATGCTCTTAGAGACTGTTTTAATCCACAAACATTGATGTTCAAATGAATTACATGCTTACAGAAATGTGTAAAGTGCACATTAGGTAATGAAAGCAGCAACAAAAGGGGAGAGATGACTGAATAATACATTTCACATGTTTATATTTTGTCTGTTAAGACACTAAATTTCAATTTACTGAAGGTGTTTTTATTTAAAGGCACACAACCCAGCTTTTTTACTCGTTTTAAAATGTTCTGAATTGTGCAATTTTCAGGGAATGAAACGGCTAAATATAGTTATAGTAAGCCATTGTGTTGTCATTTGTAACCAAAATGTTTCCTGTGATATTACATGAATATATATTTTTTAAAACTACCTGTTGACATTTCTGTTTTGAAGTCATATTTTTTTATTTATGGGAGAAGATTTTACATCTTGCAAGACAGTAGGAACAAAAGCAGTGATTCGTCCAGATGTAAGCAGCAGGTGGTGCTGCTGCACCTAAAACAGCTCAGTGGACACCGACTGGAGTTTTGACTTCTTTTTTCAACTCCTGACACGTTTTCCAGGACTCACTCATGAGTCACGTGATCAGCCCATTAAACTGTTGTTCCTGTAACGGGCTCAGTCACATTGAACTGCATGTCCCGTAGATTTTATTTTTCTGTCTCGCACAAAATAAAATTTAAGCGTCTCACGTTTCATGTGTGTACCGTATTTTCTGGCATCTAAGGTGCAGCTCTTTTGCATAGATGTCAGTCCTGCAACTTATACGCTGAAGCGACTTGTATACTTTTTCATTTTCATAAAGCAATTTTTGACTTGACGCTTTAAATTTCTAAGAACTGCAACAGCGAGTCCTCCCGTGCGCGCTCGCTTCACTCAGCTGGTGCAGGAACGCTGGAGAGCTAGCAGCTCCGGCCACGATGGATGGATGGATGGATGGATGGATGGATGGATGAGCAGTGACACATAATAAATGCTACTTATACGCCGAAGCGACATATACACGTTTTTTCCTCTTCATGATGCTTTTTTTTTTGACTGATGTGACTTATATGCCGGAAAATACGGTAATCTTTAAAATACCAAATAAGATTGTGGCTCTGTCATTGACACGTGGTAAATGTAGTCTTTTAGCCTTTCAGTGTTCTCAGTGATGCTTGTGTTGGGGATAAAGAGACTTACCGTTGTTTTCCTCACACTCCCGTTTTGTTCTCGTTTGCTTTAGTTAAGTTAATGTAAATTGTTCATTCTATTTGTTATTTTGTCAATTAAACTCTTAATATGTAATTTATAGATTCCTTCTGTCATTTTTTTTTAAGGATGTAAAGACTAGAGGAAATCCCGAACGTTCTTCAGTTTTAATTCAAGAACACACTCATCACTTTTTCCTCCTGTGCAAGAAGAGCAGATGACAGGATGCGTCGGGTGGTGCCTTCATAATGTAGATTTATTAGAGTATTCAGAGTGGTGCTATAACTTCACCCAAGCTCTCTGCCTGTGAGACAAGATGCTCTGCAATGAAATAGATCTGCGAGGCCAAAAAAAGAAAACCGACTACCTAATATTTATATTACTAATTACAGAATTTACACTCACAAACTGTGTATGGAGCAATTGAAGGGAAAGCCCGAGCTTCATACAGACATAAAAATATTAATAAATACGTGGGTTTGTTTGTTTTGTTGTCCGTTTGGAGAAGACTTCTTGGAAAACTGAACAAACTTCAAGGAAAAAATCAAAAATATGACCAAAGGACTGCCGTAGACGTGGTTCAGCATATTTATCAGCAAGTGAACGTTTGAGTCTGTTTTAGTCCCAAAAAAGGAAATAAAACTGGGTTGAGGAACGTTCTTTCATTTTTAGGGTGCACTCTTTAAATCCAACCCTTCACCCACCCCCCACCCAACAAGGCTTGGGGGGGTCAGAGCCTGGAGCTCTCCAGTCCGTCTCAGGTTTGAACAAAGTAGCATGTGTTTGTTGGAGTGGAGTCAGGACCTGGTGTGGTGAAGAAAGAGGAAGGACCGAGTGGATGTGGAGGTGTCTGGACCGCTCTAATTGGATTTTGGGGGTGCCCTGCTCCGCTTAGTAAAGAGACTTTAGGGGGACCCTGCTCCTTCTGGGGGGAGGCTGCGAGTGGAGTTGTGCTCGAGGGTAAACGTTCGCTTTGTTTCCTCTGCAGAGCCTGATGTTTGGACTTCAGCTTTAACGTGGTACCTGACCTCCATGCTCATCAGAGCTGCTGCAGTGCACTGTGGGAATGTGTGTGTGTGTGTGGGTGGGTGTGTGTGTGTGAGAGACAAAGACAGGAAGGATGCAGAGAACAGTCTGTGTGTAAATGAGGACGGGTCAGTTCATGTGTAGATCAGCGTGGTTGCACTGATCTGTGGTCAGTGAGAAGCTGCTCACATCCAGGCAGGTTCCTGTGCACCCGTCATGTTGGGGTCACCAGACCTGTGAGAGTTTGTCTGAGCTGACTCCACTGCAGCGTCATGCCGAGCAGCTTGGGGACCCCCCCACCCACTCCCATAAACTCCTCTGTTGCTGACAGTCCCCCCCCCCCCCCCCCCTCTCCTCTGTGCTTCAGAACAGGTTGGTTTTGATGGCAGGGTTGGGTTTTCTGTGGAAGGAGGACAGGACTCCTGCAAAAGGCCCCGTCATACTGTCCGCCGGCTGCCAGGCCTTCAGGATCTCCTGAGTCTGGGCAGCTGGCTGGGCCACCGCTGGGTTGGACGGGCCCAGGCTGGACCAGCTGGGCGGCTTCAGGCCATGGAGAACCGGAGAAGCGGAGGTGTTGGTGGTGTAGCCGCCGTTGGCAGGAGGAGCCGGGCTCGGGCTCAGGCTGGCAGGGCTCCCCAGGTTCCCACTGGCGGAGCCGGGCAGGGAGGCCGTGCTGTCTGGGGTGGGGCTGCAGGTGGACTCTTTGGACTCATCATCATCTGATGAAGATCTGGCCTCTCCACCTTTCTTCCCCCCTGAGCTGCTGCTGCTGTTGGAGCCGGTGGTGCCACCAGAGCTGTTGGCTTTGGCGTTGGCTGCGCGCTCCTGTTTCCGAAATTTGGCACGTCTGTTCTGAAACCACACCTGGAGACACAAACACACCTGTATGACTGGTGGAGGGAGGGAGGGAGGGAGGTGTGCAGGAGTAAACAACCTGAAGCCCCTCACCTGGACCCGGGCCTCGGTCAGGTCTATTTTCAGTGCCAGCTCCTCTCGGGTGTAGATGTCCGGGTAGTGCGTCTCGGCGAACACGCGCTCCAGCTCCTTCAGCTGAGAGCTGGTGAAGGTGGTCCGGATGCGGCGCTGCTTCCTCTTCTCGTTCAGGCCAGAGGGGTCCGAGAAAAACTTGTACGGGACTGAAAGGGAAAACAAACATTTGTTTTGATGTTAAAAAAACAACATAAGTTACATAAAACTGGACTTTACGGGGGAAGTCGGGGATTAAAGATGCTGGACAGTCGTGCGCAAAAAAGAAAAATCTGTTTTTTTTTTTTTTAAATAAATTAAAAAATAACTTTCAGATTTTTAATCACGTTTAGAATAAATCTGCACATCTTTAAGCTGGTAATTTAATTAATTTATTGTGTTCAGTTTTTGGCCACAAAAATGTAGCTCTCAGTAATAATCAATGTTGATTTTGATTCCTTTTTATTTCTTTTCTTCTATTTTTTCATTTTAGATGCTTTTTCTATGATTGCCTGTTGTTGTCTGTTTAAATCAGGTCTCTCTTGTAAATGAGTCCTCGAGGCTCAGTGAGACTAACCTGTGTAAATAAAGGTTGAATGAACAAAAGGCCAGGAATAATTTAAAAAACCGTCATGTTTTCCGAAACAAATAACAGGAAACAATCAAAAGGAATTATTACAGGAACACATTATTATTTTACAAATAATTACTGGAAAGGTTCGATTCTATTTATTTTATCCTGCATAAAATGAGAGGTTTGAACTTTGTGGTGCAAAAAATATAAAATAATAAAATGAAAACATTGTTCGTATAATAATAATAAAACAATATAATAATAATTATTATAATAATAATACTAATAATATAACAATATAATAACAACAATATAATAATAATAATAATATAACAATATAATAATAATAATAATATAACAATATAATAATAATTATAATATAACAATATAATAACAATATAATAATTATAATATAACAATAGAATAATAATAATAATAATAATATAACAATATAATAATAAAAATATAGCAATAGAATAATAATTATAATATAACAATAGAATAATAATAATAAATAATATATTAACAATATAATAATTACTCACAATAACAAAATTAACCGGAAATAAAGAACACATTGTTGGGTTTAATTTCTGATAATAATAATAATAATATTAATAATAAGTTCTCATGTTTGTTTGATTTCTGATAATAATAATAATAATAAGAAGAAGAAGAATTTCTCATGTTTGTTTAAT